GCAGTCGGGCGGCAGCAAGGAGCGAGGTGCTGTGTGCAGTGGATCTGCGTCACGATTTTCCTCTCGTTTGATTGCGATTTGGCCGCGATATTGAGTCTTCTTGGAGTTGGAAACGAGGTATGTGGGTATGGGATGACGGGGGACGTGATTTAGGACATTTTAGATAGAGATCAGGGTTAAATTAGGGATGTATTTCCGTTGTTTTTGTTCGCGTCGGGACCTTGGCTCGGGAGGACGCTTGTGCCCAAGGGTTGTCCTCGAGGGAAACGGAAGGGATTGCGCGCCTCTTTTGCTTTGTCCGGAGATCTTAAAGGGACTCCTGGTTCAGGGTATTCGAAGGGGTCGAGAGGGAAGGCACAGGGCGCGAAAGTCCTTGAGATTCCCTTAGGATCCTCTAAGCGGGCGAAGGAATGCGAGGAGGCCCGCGTGGCCCTCGCCTCCCGCGCCCAAGAGGAGCTGCTTTTTCCCCCCATTTTGGTTGCTATTATCTGCACAGTTTGCGGGATGTCGAGTTCTGATTTTGCAATTGTTTGTTTTATTTCACCCCCCGCTCTCGCACTTTTCATTACACTGCAGGATTGCTCTGAGATTTTGTTCATTTTTATTATTCAGATTTCGCGTTTGTTAAATTTACTGTCGGTTTTAATGTCTTTATTCGAATAAATCTTCCCGGGTTTGCCATCATTGTTGTTACAGCGGATTTTTTTATTCTGCATCTCTTCAGTTCTCAGTCTTGGGTATGTTCACCAGCCTTATTTTCAATACGAGTCCAAGTTTACCATTTATAAGTGTAAGAACAATTTGCACAATGCTATTTGCAATGTTTATAAACAGTCATTTGTTGATGTGACTCTAGGCAAAAGATTTCGGGCAAACCAATCTGTCGGAAATGTTTTTTAAACATCAATCTGTTAATTGGTCCATTTCCATTTAAATTAATCAAAGATGATTTTCATTAAAAAGATTTTCTGGTAAAATCTATTTGTTGAAAGGCAGGGTTAAAGTATTATAGGTGAATGTTCGAAAGTATTGCAGGAAGAGATGAGAGCACATTAATGATCACGAAACTACAAAGACAGCACAGCCAAATACCTTTCGGTACACATTTACATTATTGAATACAATATTGGTGTTTTGCCTTTAACCCAATGTCGATGGGGACAAAAGTTTGACAAGTGGACATAATTATGGGATTGTTGGCGCTCATCCCCTGTTTGCGCCTGGCTATTTTGGTAGTTTGTAAGTGACATGTGGCACCTAAAAGCTTTTTATTTTTCTATAACTTTTTCTTATAGCTTTGAAGGCTTATCATCATTTTAGGTGCTATTGCCTAACATCTTTACCTAATAAATGAAGCTGCTACTATCGGAGAAAAAATAAACTCCGTCCAACGAACCAATGGCGCGGGAATGGGCATGATATGATGCCATCCATTTTTCGGCCCACAACAGCCATGGCATGTACATACATGCCACCTGTTGGATAGTGGGTAAGGGGGCCATCGCGCTGAATTTTCGGCAAATATTTTTAAAAATACTCTTAAATTTGACAAAAAAAATCTCCTGTAATCTAGCAGGTTTTGGCAATTCTTTGACATATTTCTGCTAAATGCATAAAAATTGAGTTATGACGATAAATATATATGTGTGTATGTAAATTTTTTTATTTATTTATTTTTTATTTTTTTTTTTACTTCATTTTTTTTATTATCCAAATGTTATGAAATATGTTGAGGTAAATCGTAGTATACGTATATTTAATAATATCATGATATATACTTTTAGGTGCCTAGTGTTCCTCTCAAACTACCAAACAAGTTGGGCGCAAACGGGAAACTATCGATGTATGCCGATAACCCAGAATTAATGGCCCACAGCTATATTTTTAACTTGGGAACAATGGGTTAAACATACTACTAACAAATCAATTGCCTACAGAAACACCACCACTTGCACCCTAATCCTTTACTCTACTCCCGGCAATCAACCACATATCTCTGATAAGCACCAACTTGGTGCCCTATGCATCATAAATTGAGTGTGATAAGGGTCTAAGACTGTTCTTTAGTGATTTCGTCAAATGATAAGCTCTGATCCCACACCTGAAAGATACTGCTAGTGGAAATAAACAGTTGCATTGTTAAAGATTCTTTTTTCATGATAATTCAATGTAAAGATACTCTAAACTAAATTCTATAATAAGTGTTACTCATTTCATGATATAAATATTTTTTTACAACTTGCAGACACACCTGCTATAATTTTTGTGTCAGCACTGAAGATGAAGCACCATTTATCCTTTTAGAATAAAAAGTTTCAGTAAGAAATGAGTAACTACACAATTGATGCTTTACAATAAATAAAAAGAAGTCTCCATGTTTTCTGTAATTAATTTCAATAGAGAATAATCTCAAACATTGAAAGGTTGCATCATAGTTATCCAGATCTCATCAGGGGAACTCTAAGTTCTTACTAGCATAAATATGAAATATGCCTTTGAAATGTAGGATCAGCTGAAGAAATATTTGACTAAATCTAAAGAACGACCCAAGTTTTCTTAAACTAGTGTAGAATCCACAGTTATACTTGTCAGCATATAACATAGTTAGGAATTACTGTCACCATTTGAAAATCCATTAAAGATGGTCCTTACATGAATGGAACACCTGCAGACATCTTCAAATTCAGCTTAGTTTTAATCGAAAATCAAAGACATTTTAATGTGGTCATCCAGAAATATGCCAAGTTGAGGACATATAACTACATTTTGGGAATGGTAAAGAAAATATAGACAACTGTTTATTTAATTCTAAACATTAATTAAGGTGTTTCCCACATTTTCACTGCAATAATCTTTTTTAAAAAACAAGTCTTTTGTGCAACTTTACAACTGATGCTATGACGAACAGACATTTGAATGCCACATTATGTTTGAATAAGTTAAATGTGTAATATTTTAGCCCTTTTAAAGGTAATGGGATTTATTTTATTAATTTATCTTCAGTGGGTATATAATTGTTTTTATGATTCTTGTATATTCAGGCAAAGTAACTTGCACTTTGTATGATTTGGCTAGTAAGAAATGCAGACTTGGCCGTTTGTCAGAAAAGGAGCCAGTCCAGTCTGTCTTGTGGATATGTGGTGTGGCTAATTGCCATTGTGGCAAAGATGTGAAAGCCATGGCTGTCCCCATTTACAGTCCTGTTAACAATCAGTACACATTAAACCCCAGAGCACCAAGCCACATTTGTGAACATTATCAACAGAAACTTCGCTTCATTCATCCTGTTCATCCGTCCTTCCACACCTCCTCACCTTGCCTATGTGTACACTTTTAGTTCAACTATGCTTAAATTATCTTAAAATGTCAAGCCATGCCTGAACATGTGTCAACTTGGACATGAGAGGAGATAAGGTGCTTGAAGACCAGTATTTATTTCCAGATTATCATATGGAAATATAAAGTTATAGGAAATAGGAATTTATTTCAAGCAGCCTACATTGTTTTTATGCTAATGACCCCTGTAAAGATAATTTAGATTTAGATTGATAAGATCTTGCCTACAGCACACTCAGCCCCTTCATAGTAAATTGTAATTGGGAAGGGGAGACTTTTTTATCTTAAATAAAGTTATTTATAAAATCAACCCACAAAGCAATAAGTAGCAGTTGATTAGCCTAGTTAATTAGACGTTACAAGTAGTGAACAGGTACTAATTTAATTTTTGTGATTAACCCATTGGATCCAGATGTGTCACAGAAATCACGGTAATGAAAATACAGGCTGTGGGTTACATCTGTAGCCAACATCTCGGGTGTTCAGTGTGCAAAGTGTAAACTTTTTTAGACTTTTGGCCATTTTCTGATGTTCGCAGGTATTTTGATTTGCTTTATCCAGATGGTAATAGCTTATTTTCCTTTGCACAGAATCCATATCATCTCTCTATGTAGTAGATAACTCAGTGCAAGAAAAGAAATAATAAAGAAAATCTGGTTACATGTGACATTTATCTCATTTTTTCGTAATTTTTTATTTTCCATAATACAACCTACCCCACCGGTCACAGCAGCCAAGAATATGGTGCACAGCATGGAAATGGCATGCTCCCTGGAGCCGGCTTTTGCACATTACATTCCACATTCATTTATCGATGGGGATAATGCTAAAGCCCTCTTCTAAGAACCAAATGAGTCAAATCGCACTCCCAAGAGGTTTGTGCACTCATGGCGAGTCTTTTCCATCACCCTGGCCTTCGCTCATGAGAGCAAGTTCATATTACCCATCCCGTGGCCATTTTGCCTGATGACCGATGGTCACGTTACCCAGCCATTGACCCAGATTTTTCCATGACAGAACTGTAACTTCATCTAGATCATAGGGGTTAATTGGCAAATTAAAGATGTTAGGAAAGATAAAGATATTTGTCTATAATACTAATGATTCGATAAGACCTAAATTTTTTGCATTCTTTCAGTGTTATATTTTTAAATTGGCACTTTTCAGGTTCAGAAAAATGAGTCGCTCACCGCAACACGCTGTGGCCAATGGAGCTTCACCAGTTCGTGAAAGGTCCAGGGACCCTTCATTTTCCCGCTCAAGGTAAAGCAAATTGTGATCCATATCCTAAAACTTAGATATTTGAATTATGGTCTCTCCATTTTCAGTGTGTCAGCATTTTTCAGGTTTCATAGTACTCACAAATCTTTGTAAAAAGGAAGGTTATTGGTTTAAAGCAGGTGCATGGAGGAATTTATATTTGGGAAGAAATGTTTGTACATTTATTTAAATCTTTATACTCTTCTTCCTTTTTAATCCAATTTTTTACAACAAAAATTTGAAAAATTATAAATGATAAGTTCTTATATTTTCACTGATTATTCAACAGATCACGCTCCAGAGACCGACGTGAAACCTACAAACACTCTTCTAGAAGTTCTGGTTCCCCTAGATACCGCGAGGAGCGCTACCGAGAGGACAAATATTCATCCTCACGCCGCAGAGATTCTCGTTCCCCATCTTACTCCAGAAATAGAAGGAGTAACAGGTTGGCAATTTTTAGTCGGGTCAAGAGGGTATTTAGCAAGTAATGCTGGTACCTTTATGGTATGTGTATCTTCCTAACAAAAGTGCTGTTTAGCTTGAAGAAGCTTTAGCTTTTGGAAAGGAGAGATTCCAGACATGTTGCAGCACTTCTGGATTTGTTCAGGCCCTTACTCGAATCACGTCACCAAAGTTTTCCTCTCCTCGGATTTCACTTAGGTAAATAGGGTCAGCACAAGTTTTTTGATCTTTCTAAATCCTAGGTCCCGATCAAGGTCGCCAATGTCGAATCGCCGCCGTCATCATGGAAGCAGAGAGGACCCATCCCCTAGCAACTGCCTTGGCATCTTTGGACTCTCTCTCTACACAACTGAGAGACAGGTGAACTGACACCCTTAATGAGCCTTTGTGCCCAAGTTTGTTTTGCATGTTGAGAGAAACTTATGAATGAAGATTGAATAATATACCCAGGTGAGATGAATTATAGAATGTCTTGATTGCAATATCAAATGCCTTTACAAAACACCCATTTTAATTGAATATCAGCTGTTATTGCAGTATATTTTCTCATTGACAAATTCCAGTTGTCTTTTTTTAATACTTTATATTAGCCCTACCAAAATACTGACATCCTACAAGAGTTGAATACGTAAATTTTCATTATTTTTTGTTTCAGCTTCATCACCTCTTCGGCAAATATGGTCATATCAATGAAGTCCAAGTTGTGTTAGATGCTAAAGTAAGTATCATTCATGAATAGTATCTAACTTTTATTTACATGGGATGGTGGGTTGGTGTTTGTGTAGGTAGGTGTGTGGATGTGGATGGGGGTTTTGATACGGATTGTATATGCATTAGAGATCTCTTTTCCTTTTTCATGGGGTAAAAGAAATGTATGAATTGAAGTTTTACTGCAAAAAGTTATATTTCAGTTTGTGGAGGATGGACTACCTAATGATAGGCTCATGATGCTGAAGCTGCCAATTGTCACACTGCTGGTTCTTTAGTTTTAATTGTTTGAGTGTATTCACATTTCTCCAGTTATCAGTCAGTATTGGAAGGCTGTATCACAAACACCAAAGTACAGCTGCTGCAGCCTCATGTTTACCACAAAATAACAAAATTGTCCACTACATATCACCACTCGTCTTCATACAACTAGAGTTCTTAATGCATGTTTTCTCCAAGTTTGCATAAAGTGCTAAGAAAGGGGGGGGGTGGTACAGGAAGGGCTTGATACCCCTCTCCCCCCTGTCTAGGGGGTAAAGAGAAGATAGGAAAGGTTAGGTATGGGTTTTTGGAGGTGTGTTGCTCTCGGTAATGAATACCTTAGTTTTCAAAGAGAAATGTGTTTGAGGCTTTCTCTATGGCCTATTTTAGATTAGAGGGAAGCTAGGCAAGCCAAAGTAGATTTCTGTTCATTTTTTCATGTGATTGTTTTTGGCCATGTTAGTCTGATTTTTTTTTTTATTATTATTGATACTCCTGCTCTATCACCAGCATATGATGATGGGGATACAGGAATGTATGAACGAGAGCTGTGGGTGAGAAAAAGGTTGGGCTACATCTGTAAATAAATTTGAGGTAGTGGGGTTAGGGAAGTCTGCTTTTTGGTAATTATTACAATGGTGCTACCAATGATTATGTAACAGATGACAAATGCTTGTCTGTTGTAATAGCTAGAATCTTCAAATTGACAAGAATTTTTGCTAGATATGAAACTAAATTACATGGATAAAAATATTTGAAAAGGTTTGAGGAAAGGCAGATAATGTAACAGATGACAAATGCTTGTCTGTTGTAATAGCTAGAATCTTCAAATTGACAAGAATTTTTGCTAGATATGAAACTGAATTTTGATATTACTTCATGAGCTTAATGTGATGTTGATTATGTAATATGGAAAAGTGATTTGCACATCTTTCAGTTGGAAATAACTGACTTTAAAAGTTTTTGTAGTTTGTTACATCTGTTTTTAAAGATTTGAGAATGATCCAACTAATGTTATGTCATCTTGTTAATGCTTTTCATTGAATAATGTCGTACTGGTTAAGAATTCTATATTAAATCAACTTTGATTCTTACAGACTGGTCGATCAAGGGGATTTGCTTTCATCTACTTTGATCATGTGGATGATGCCACAGAAGCCAAGGACCAGTGCACTGGCATGGAGATTGATGGAAGAAGGATCAGAGTAGATTATTCCATCACAGAGAGAGCCCACACACCCACTCCTGGCATATACATGGGTCGACCAACTTAGTAAGCGAGGCAGCTTAATTGAAAATAGTGACATTGAGAAAGTCATTGATCATGAATTTATTATTGATAAATTGTTTGTGCATGTTGCCTGTCTGTCATTTTGCTGTTACTCACAAATTCACTTAATCTTTCAGTTCTAACAATGGCCGTAGAGGTGGTGGTGGAGGTGGGGGAGGTCGCCACAGAGGTGGATATGGAGGGGGGAGTCGCAGTCGCCGGTCCCCTCCACGTAGATCATACCGCTCACGCTCTCGGTCATACTCTCCACGTAAGTAGATAGTGTTGGTGTTAATGTGAGAGGCAGGTGAAATTTCTGTTGTCTAGTTGATTATTCTTACAGGTGCTCAAGGCAGGGAATGCAAGTGTAGATACTAAAGGTGTCACAGAAATAGATATGAAATCACTCAAGATATTTGTGCCCTGCCATTGGTGTAGACCTGTTCAGAACAATAGAAAAGAACAACATTTGTATATCAAAGTCAGTTTTGAGTTTTGAATTATGAAGTTGCACCTTTTGATGAAAAACTTCATAGACCTTTTGAAAATGTTTAGTTTTTTTTATGGTTTTGTTTTGATTCTTAAACTTTGCCTTGTATGATCTACTGATTTCTATTTTGTCTCATCACACATGATATGCATCGATGTAACCCATGTCCACATAGCAACTATGGTGTCATGGTCTTGTAATTTTGCTCATTTGAAGTTGCTCTCTTGTGTATTATAAGCAAAATTTTTTGCTTGATTTTGAATTTGTCACTGAAATTGGCCACTTCAGTTGCTCAAAAAAATAAAAATAAAAAAAAGTGAAGAGCAGTGTCAAAATATATTTTGACTATGCAAGATTTATCCTTTTTCAGGTCGCTACAGCCGGTATTGAGGTGCTGGTGTCACTTTAGTTTGATTATAACTAGAAACATGAACTGTATTTAATGTCACTATGTATTCTAACAAGATCAAAGCACTCTGATATAAAGAATATATTTAATCCTGTTAGAATGCTACATTAGATATTCAGCAGTTTCCTGATTTTCAAAGTTTAGCAGGCCTATATTTAAGGACGAGCTGGTTGTTTTGACCAGGAGTTTTTCTATGTACTGAGGAAGTATTCCTCAAGATATAATGTTATTTGCATCAGGTATTGAGATATTTTTCGTTAAAACATACCCAGAAGTGAATATCTGCTGTGTCTTGAGATATAATTAAGCATTTTATATATGGAGAGAAATTTAAAAAAGATTATTTTCGAATTCAGGACTTTCTCATCGTATCAGAAGCATTCAGAATATTTCTATTTTTTGCCTTCTGTGTATTTCTTTTCTTGTTTTAAGATGAGTTTTATTAGTATTTTGGAGTGAGTTTAGGTCAATAATCACCCTTTCTGTAACCTATTACAAAATGATCAATAAAGATGAAACAAAAGGGTTGTTTAACAGGCATTAGTTCTCCTTGTAGATAGTTGATTTTCAATATCTTTGTATGTTGAGAACTTCTTCGATTGTTTCATCCATGTTTCATAAAAGACATTGCTCACAAGTTTACCACAACTTGGTATATACTGATTATGTTTTGTTATGGTTTCCCTTCTTTCTCTTTCTTAATCTTTTCTAAAGTTAATGAAAAACATGTGTTTGTTCACTGGGAATCAAAAGTTATGTGAAAGAAATGAAAGGTGACCCATGTTTAGACTAGATGGAGTTGAGGTGTGACATCCTCATTAAAAGAAAGAATTACTTAAGTTGAAGCTTAAGACTGTGTACATCAGAAGTTTTTTTTGTGGTTCTCTCTACCAATAAAACAATTCTTAACACTATTTTCTTTTGTCATCCCAAGGCTTGAAGAATGGAAGTATTGGTGAATATTGGAAGATAAGAAAATCTTAATGAGTCGGAAGATTAGAAGCACTGGCCGGGTTTCTTTGGGGAACATTGGAGAAGAATTGTTGGCGAAGACAGAACAGGCTGACAATATTCACCACTGTTGTAGTAACCAAGAAATGGAATGTTTCCAAGCATATGAAGATCTCACACTAGAATTTTGTGAAGCTTCAAGGGAAATTGGAGAAGTAATGAAGATGGCAGTTGGTTTGAAGAAGGAAATAAGGCGGGTAAAAGGGTAACACCAGAAAAAACGAGGGAAGGCAGTAAGAAAGGGAAGTAAAGTTGAAGCAAAGTCGCAAAAAAACTGGGTCAAGACGAAGGAATGCAAGAATTTTCTCAGGTCAAAAGGGCGTATGGTCAACCCGAGTCTTCCTTGTTGAACACCACATCATCATCCTCATCCTCACAGGGGAAGTGTCAGTACTGCCATGAGGTAATCCTTCGTCTCATTTATGTTAGAAACCCTCAGATAACAGCCTCTTTTTACAAGATTTTCACTTCCATATCGACACATTCCAACAGTGATTCCTTAAACATGGAAAAAGATTTTGGGAACAGGTTCACACCATTAGAAGTACATTAAATCCCTTCCAGCCACTTACTTTTTACTCTTTTTTTTTCTCTCTTTCAAACTTCATCAGTTGGGGAGACCATTTTTTCCTTGTTTAGTGTGAAGCTTCTTGTACAGCAAAGAGCTCAAGTGTAGAGATCTTGATATCATAATTCATGGAAAGTTGCATATAATTGCATTTAAAGGAGCATGTGCTTTCTGGATTCCAACTGCAAAGAAAGTTGTTTCTGTTTCAAACATATACCACCAGGTAATACATAAAGTATACAGTGGAAGTTATTCTTCGTATCAAGTACTGTATAATATGAAAAGGCCTTGGCTCTGTTGGAAAGTGAATAGACCATTATCCAAGAGGGTTTACTTGGCTTTCATTCTGTTGTATGGTGACTTGTTAGTATTTCATATACATAAAAAGTAAAGAATATTGCAGCCAAAAAAAAGTGGATGGGGTTTTACTAATGAAGGACTTATTTTTCAGGTGCCATTTTCTTTAATTCAACATGTTGACGGCCAGTGTATTTTGACCTTTTCATTAATACTCTTAAAACTTTATTTTCCATATAAAATGGAAATTAACAAGACATGAAAAAAATGTAAGCTAAATCTAAGTGACTTTAAAGACAAGCATTTTACATAAACAGATGTAGAGTTGTGCCTCTTATTATTTTACAATTTTTCTTGAATGTATATCACTTGTATCACTGGGACAGGTACACTGAGGCACGCACTTTTTTTCCCCTCTCTCCCTCCAATTGTTTGACTATTTTGTAAATTGTGGGAAGGTTTTAAGATTGATCTGGGATTTATAACAAGGAAAGTAAACAATTGCATAGTAATTTATGAAGGATTTGCAACGTGGACATCCTTTGTTGAATAAGTAAAGTTCAGCAGCTTCGATTGCCTGGTAAGTCATGTATGTTGAAATTAGCATTTTGCTCAATGACTTTGAATTTCTTTTCTGTATCTTTATATTTTTTTCTAAAAGCTTTCGAATGGTAGAGCCATTATCTGTGATTAGACATACAATTAGAATTCTTTTGCTTGCTAAAGAAATAATGGTAGCTCATATTGTTTAGAGTTGCATCTTCAAATTACTTCTAACCCTAATTGAATTCAAAATACAGACTAGCATAACATGCTTTTTGACAAACAAACCTTATACATTCATGGTACCAAATATTTTAGATAACACTTTCGAATGCCTTAAGATTGGCCTAAATAAAGATCCTTCTTTTCTTGTTGGCTTTTTGGAGAAAACAGTCTAGTCAGTTAAAAGTAGTTTTAGGAATAAATAATATCAGTTGCATTTCAGATACTCAGCAAAATGAATTGAAATGAAAAAAATGTGACATCAATAAAGTTTTTATGAATGATGAGTATTTTTCATTAACCAAATATTTAATATACTGTAGGTTTGATATGAGTAGTCTGTAACTTCTCAGAATTATAGAAACTGAGCTTTAGTTTGGCTTTTACTGTAATGTATTGAAGTTAGTGTATGAATTAACTTAATAGTAATGATTTAGACACTAGTTACACAGCATGCATGAGTATTGAACAGAAAAATGCCTGGATTAAATCGTAATAATTTATCATAAACCATGGTCCACATGGCCATTATCCTATGAGCTGCAGCACCTTACAACAAGTGTTAAAATATCCCTAGCACATTTTATTAAACATTCAGTATAAACTGATGTGTAAGTGTGTAGACAAGAATAAGTGCAACGTCACTTAAGAGGATTGACATCTTGTACGAGACGGGTAATGAAGTGAAACGTCTTCTGAAGTGTCCTCCAAAAGTTGGGGGGAAACTGTATACGTAGAGGGTACCTTCATCTTATAAAACCTATCCACACAAGACGAACGAAGTAACTCGCAAGGCAAAGGCAAGGCAATAAATGTGCCAGATGATAAGCAATGCAATGCTGGTAACAAGGTCGCTCACCAGACACTCGCCTAAGGCATGGAAGTACTTAGTCAAATTGGCAGTAGAAAGACAAGAAAATCGATGAAAAACTACATAATATAAACAAGCTTAAGGGCAGCGAATGAACATGGAAAATTCTTAGCAAGTGATCCCCCTCCTCATCCCTTGCTCGTTGTAGGGGGGATCGGGGTCCGCTTAGGAGGGGGGGGGGAGACGAAGACTGAGACCCAATACAGGGATCTCCCCTGCCTAGGGCCTCAGCCCTCGACTCGACTAATTTTGCATGGTCTTTTCCCCCTCCAGCTTTTTGTTTCCGTCCCTTCTCCAACCCCTTCTATTATCTACTTAATCCCACTTTTCACTACCATATTATCCTATAACGTTCTTAAACCTTTGACATCTAATACTTTTTATCATAATCTTTAACTCTCCTTTGCCCTTTCCGACGCAATACTTTACCATAGTGCTATATGACCTCTGAAGTGTAGCACATTTATTTTCCGTGCTGAAAGGATGAAAGGCTGACCTTGTGCCAGTCCTGAACGGCCTGCGGGACCTATGGGCACGGTACTCCCGATTTAATTGTCTAGCCCTTACCCTGAAATGCATGAGGGTGAACCGGTTATGCCGTTTTATATAATCAAGGTTCCCCATGACCCCAGCAATGAAGATGTAATCCCCATATTTGATAAAGGGGCAAGACTCCTTGCCCCTTTATCAAATAGCCCCACCCCAGGCTCTCCTTTGCCTACGACTCCGAACACCGAAACTACTACCCACTCCACAATGCCTACTAGTGCATTACCCCCACAAGCAGAGACAAATCTCCATAAGACCCTCCTACCCTCCCAACTTCCTCAAATTCATCAACTCTACCCCCACAACCTTCATCAAGCACCCCATCCTCCCTTATTACTACCTTGCAGCCTTTTTCTCCATCACTCCGTAATACTCCATCTTCCACACGTCCCCGATCATCCACCACCACCAACCCTACAAATATCTTACTCTGTTTAGCCCAGCTAAATGGGACCGATTTTTCGTGATCGCTTCTACAGCTCCTTACTCGGTCAACGCTCTTCTCTTTCAACAAAGCCTCCAAAAACAAGTGGGCAGAGTCCCTTTCTGTACTAGACGCGATCGCTCCCGTCTCGTAACAGTCGGATCAGAAACTGTCAAATTTAACTGATCATTCTGGCAACCCCATTCCTGCAGAACCTCATCCAACCCTTAATACTTGTACCGGAACTGTTTCACCTCAGCAAACTGCCCAGTCAATACCAATGATTGGTCAGCCTGTGGAAAAGAGTCGTTAGGATGCCTCAAAGACCAAGATGTGAAATCAGTACTTTGTTACACCATTCCTCCTAGAGGTCAACGAATGAACCCGACCAACATCGCCAAAATTACTTTCCGTACACATAACCTTCCCAATTGTATCTACATTGGTGGACAATCCCTCCCTGTTCAACCATACCAACCTTTTCCCCGTCAATGTCAAAATTATTGGCGATTTGGACATCCTGCCAAACACTACCGCTCCACAGGCCGATACCCCTCTGTGCCCAACACGGTCTTAACAGATCAATCTGCCCTGTACAAACACGCACATGTGCTAACTGCTGTCCCACTTACAAGTTCGAGTCTGAGGTAGCAACTGTGAGATACAAAAATGGGCTCACTCTACGTGAAGCCAGACAGGTAGCACGCCGACAAGGTTTCTCTTATACTCCCTACTCCAGTAATGTTGCCCCCCCTCCACCTCAAGATGTTCCTACACCCTCCCCTATACCTACTTACTTCCCCACTTCCACATTCAACTTCCCCCAGTCAAATTCTTTTGCCACTCTAAATCCAGACACCCCAATCTCAACCACAGCTCCAATCTCAACTACAGCCCCAACACCATCCCCTCACTACCCGCGGTAGACAGACGGATCGTTCCACCCCTTCTTCCCCTACCGCACACTCACCTCCACCTACCTTTACCATTACTCCCCAGACACCAGTCCCCCCCCCCCTCATAAGAAAACCTTTGTCCCACAAAACTCTTCAAGAAACTCCACTGCAGAAACTATGGAAGACATTCAGAGCTATATGCTTGATACACAAAATTCCACAACTCGTGCTCCCTTCACAGTTAGTGATTGCCGATATGCGTACCCCTCCTACTCATATTCCCCCCTGCACCCCTTCCTCCTCCTCCTCCCTATCAACACAACCTAACCCCCTCAATTCCGTCCACCACCGGTACCCATCCTCCCGATACCCATGCTCCTGAAATCCATCCCCTCTTGCTCATAGCATCCCTACACCCCTCCCTCTCAATCCTAAGAGCTGCCTATACAGCAATTCCTCGAACTTCAAGACCTTATACCTCTAAATGTGTTCCATGGTGGAATTCTGATTGCACCATAGCGCTTCGCTTAAAACGAGCAGCCTGGAACGGCTATCGCTACAAACGAGGCACCCCTTACCAGCTATCAGCCCTTATCTCCTTTAAAAGAACATCTGTCCATCTTCGCCGTACAATCAGAAACAGTAAAACAAATAGCTGGCAAAATTATGCTTCCTCAATTACATCTACATCTATTTCAGCTATTTGGCGACGGATCCATAAATTATCAGGCAAACATCCCCCCCATCCTGCATCCGTCCTCCATATTCGAGATACTCATTTCTGAGCCTATTGAAGTTGCTAATGAATTGGGCGACTATTTCAGCCAGGTCAGAAGTGGCTCTCACCTTTTCCCACACTTTTCTTCCATTAAAGCCATTAAGGAACGCACCCCTATCACCTTCATTCTATCCTCTGATGAGTCCTATAATGCTCCTTCCTCCTATTCTGAACTCAACGCTGCATTACAGTTGTGCCGCAACACTCATGAGGGCCTTGATGGTATTCACTATCGTATGCTCCGACACCTCCCATCTTCCTCTCTATCCTTCCTTTTAACTATTTTCAACCACATATGGACGTCAGGAAATTTTCCTTCTCATTGGCGAGAATCTCTTATTCTACCTTTCTTAAAACCCAATAAATCAGGTACCCTACCCCAAGATTACCGCACCATTTCTCTAACTAGCTGCTTGTGCAAGCTACTAGAACGAATGGTTAACTTCCGCTTAATGTGGTATCTTGAATCTCGTAATCTCCTTTCTCCTTCCCAGTTTGGTTTCCGACGTGCCCGAAGTATGGCAGACCCCCTTGCCCATTTCGAGACATATATTACATCTGCATTTGCACGCCATGAATCCGTATTAGCCATATTCTTTGATCTAGATAAAGCATATGATACCGCATGGCAGTACCATATCCTCCAACAATTGTCTTCCCTAGGGTTACTGGAAACATGGGTGTCTTTATAAAATCCTTCCTTTCTAACCGTACTTTCCAGGTCAAAATTGCCTCATCCACGTCATCATCCTTTCCTCAGTTCAAAGGCGTCCCACAAGGAAGTGTACTTAGTACCGCTTTATTCTTTCTTGCTGTAAATGACGTTGTCTCAGTCCTACCACCAGGAGTCCGGGCAATCGCTATATGTTGATGACTTAACCATCTACGCATCTGACACATCCATACCAGATCTCTGTCAATTCTAACACATATCTTGCTGTTATTTTATAGTTAAACGTATATGACGGCAATGAATGTTTAATTTAGATTTGCTTATGAAAAATGAATTCAAATATTTAGGTGAATGAACAGCATTTTTTCACAGACAAGTCTCTGTAGACAAGTATTTTAGTGAAGGATTGGAGACGGACACGTCGGACAAGTGCTCTTCGCATGGGAAGAACTCGCTCTCTCCAACCCCTGGAAATTTCATTCCGCAAGACAAGACAGTACGGGAGTGCAGGGGACGCCAATATTTATGAATTACAGACAACACTGAAATGAGACACGGAATAGCATGGTTAGAATGACCGTCATTGATGCAGTTAGTAAAAAGATGATGTGAAATGACTGGAGATGGGACTTGATCCATAATTGATTCCTGTTTCAGGTTGAAAATTATCCAGTGAGATGTCGAGAGAAGGAACTGCAGATCCATTTTGAAAGTGGACAACATTGCACTAAAACATTAATAGCACAAAACAGTCGAGAATCCACAAAGAAACATATTCTTTATATCGTACTAATATATTGTTGTATAACAGCGTAGTTTGTCCATTCTAATCTGCTTTTCTTTATGGACTAGAACTGCTGTTATCAAAAGCATGGTGATTATGCCGTGAACGCATCAAGCCATTATTAAGGTCATCCTTAATTACCTCCATCAACATGACTCCACAAACTCCACATCTGAAGTAGGAGTGGATGCAAATCAAGAAAAAACACGTTTAAACCAAGCCAAAAACCTACTGTAAAACTGTTGATAAACACACACACACACACACACATATACATACATACATACATATATATATATATATATATAT